TAAACAAGTTTGGAGAGATGGACAATGAATGGATCTTGTACTGCAGATATTTTATTCTTACTCCTTGTTATTTTTGGTGTTTCATTTTAGCAGAACAACCAAACTGACATATCTGTCAATGTTCACTGAACACTTAAGCTGTGCAATCCCGCAGCACACTCAAAGGAGAGTGCCACATCTTCAGAGGTTTGCTCCACCTCCAGCTGGATGCACAGCCAGAATCTCAGAAAGACCAGAATTCTCTAGAAAGTCATGCATTGAAATTATATCTTTGTGACCGCTAGCTTCTTCAAATAACCTGTAATGAGGTTATTTATGGTGAGCTGCTAATTAAAAGGGTTGGCTGAACAACACGACATGCTGCTGCTCCTTGAGATTCTGCCTCATAACTTACCCTGCTTGTGACAAAATGCTGTGATGTGGATGTTTGGGGTGCAGTAAATTTATATATCAAGACTTAGACTGGGGTTATTTATTCAAAACCACCTCTTTTTGAAATGACTTACACATCAGACTTTTAACGTTCTTTTCCCATCACCAAGGATATTTCTCATGTTTATTTTTCAGAGTTGACTTTTTGTCACTTAATGAAACTTCAATAATGCAACATATGAATACCTATGTAAATACATAGACCCATATTGTGAAAAAAATTAGTGTCACAAGCTCTTTAATGACAAAAATAATACAAATAACATACATGGACAGTATTTGCAAGAAGTGTATATTAGCTTCTCACATGACTCTCAATTCTTTTGAGACATCATGTTGCTGAATCTCAATATCTAAAGATAAAGCTTTAGAGGAGATAAACATGCTAACTCTTGATGAATCAAGAACAATACATCCACATAATTACAAAATAATACATGGCAGTATGTCTAGATTTAAGGTGTTTTATTTTGTACAAGTGCATGTGATATTCATGTGATATGTATAATCATAAATACATATAGACTTGGCAAAATGGTGTACTTTGATCTTAAGTACATTGGATTGTTCTTTGAAGATAAAGACTAATATGATCAGAGAGATAAGTGGACCTTAGACTCTTCTTATCAAGAAATTAGGTGCCCTTAAAAGATTGCTCATGGAGCCCCTTGTATTCTTCAACTATGGCCTTACACCGCTTTTTGCCATTTTTTGTTTCCTTCCACTCTGTTATTTTCTGTTTGTCTCCATTCATTTGTTCAACAAAGTTATTGAGCACCTATTTACACACTAAGAATTATGATAGCCACTAGAGAAAATAGGGTAATGTATTTAC